TTGAGAGAGCTCAGAAAGGCCTCGACCTCGCACGAAGCCTTCTGTGGGAAGAACAAGGAGACAAGAACCTCAGCTTCCTCTTCCAGGAAACAGGTCTTGTCACCCTTGTCCAACCTCAGGTCATGGGCCTTTTCCACAATCCACCATGTTCCTTTACGAAGGATCATCGAACACGGTTCGGGTAGTCCTTGACCTGGTAGACAGGTGCAGGAGTACGAAGAGCCTGGCCCTGTGAGAAACGAGAGCACGCCCGTTCTCACAAGGGAACCAACCTCTCTTCTTACAAGCAACACTGCCCAAGAAACCGAGAAGCTTGCTATCGGTAGCAGGTCTCCAAGCATAGTCAACCATCTTCTTGGTCTCGGTGTTGAAGCAATACCGGGACATGAAAGATAGGATCTCTCCTCCGCACGGTCGGAGGAAGTACGGTTTCCTTCATCATATGCGTGGCATGAAGGGCAAGCTCCTTGAGGTAGGCAGGTTCCACCTCCAGTGAGGCATGAAGGGCCTGTCGCGAGCCCTCTGCCACGCGGCCAGCTCAGCCCACGTCTTCACCACCCCATCAACGGTGGAACGGTCCGCCCTGTCGACGAAGCGCGACGCCGATCTCTCCAGGGTGCGCGTCCGTTCTTTGGTTAACGCATCAGACACCTGTCCTTCCGGCCTGAACGCCCCCACCTGAAGAAGCACTCTGCAGAGCTAGGCCTTCCTCTTGCGAAGGGCTGGCTCATCTGGCTGCGGCGGTGCCAGCCGCCCCGCTCGGCCTCCCCAAAGCCCTCGGCAGAGAGGCCGCCCTCTTGCTCGGCCCTCACCGCCGTCCAGGCATCCGCCACATGGTGACCAGCATCACGGACCGCCTGTTCGTAGTTCGTGAAGCAGAAGGCGAAATCCGCGTCCCTCTGCAGATGATGCTTGTGCCGCCACTCCCTCAATCGACTCGCGGCAATAACCTGCAACGAGGTCTCGGCCGACCACTGGCCCTCGCCCTCCATGGCCTGCGCCGCGTAGATGCCAGCCATGGTGTGCCACACCACAAGGCCCGAGACTAACTGAGCGAGCCAACAAGGGCACGAAAGCCGGGGAAGGCGGTTACAACCGAAGCGCAAAAGCCCCGAAAGCAAGAGAACCAGCAAGGAACCCCGGCCCTTCAAACTGGCACAGGGGCACCGCGGCTGCCGCGCCGTAGTTGGAAGAAGTCGCCAGATGCCTCCCCAGCCGGTTCAATACAACCAGGGACAGCGGAAGAGAGGGAATCAGCCAAAGTGCGGTTGCCGACCGCACCTCGGGCCCATCCAGGACCCTTATAAGAATACTGCCCGCACCCGCGGTTACCGACCGCTGGTGTCCCGCCCCAACCCAATTGCGCAGCTCTCTGAGACCAAAGCCCAGGCGAAGATGCCGACGGGGAGCGCGACCTAAATGCAACGAGCACATTCTGCCATGCAGTCCCGGCACACTGTGCTGTCGCACCGGCGGCAGCGGAACACAGAAGGGCAGCCGCATGACTCACACGGGCACGGGAGAACTTCCATACCCGACTCAAGGGCTCCCATGAGAAGCCAAAGCGCCCGGTGGGCGCGAGCCACCTCAGAATGGCGGCCAAGCTCTCGCGAAGGAATCCTCTCATATGCCGGCTCTCTCCACTCTCGCTGCCCTTGGTGCCAAGACCGCCACAAGCGCCAAAGTTGCACGGGGGTAACGCCCCTTGGATGCTCATGGCGCCGCACATATTCAATGAGGCGCCCGGCGTGGTCGGGAAGGATGTCCGTGGGCCAGCGGCCGCTGGCAAGTCGCAGCACCTGCATTCCTGACAAGGCGTGCCCGAGGAACCAGCACCGTCTGGCGACTGAAAGTTCCCACGAAGGGGAATTGGTAACCCCCGCGCCCTGTACGGCAGCGCTCGCAGTTAAGGTCCACACATGGCACCAGCCGCACGGGCGGGACACCTGGAGGCAGTGCGTCAAGGACATCGACCGGTGGGGGCGGAATGTGAGAGACTTCGAGCACCGACCCCCAAAGCATGGCGGCTTCCCAAGAGGCCCCCTGATCCACGAGGGCGCGAATCCTAGCACGCCAGTCCAGCATGGCCGCTGGATGGAGTACCTGATCGTCCGTATGGACGGCCAACCTGGCGATAGCATATTCCATGCTCACAGGTACCTCCTGTGACCGCACAAAGAGAACTCTCTAAGCCGTTTTGGATCAAGCTTGAGCCAAAATGGCAGCAACATTATGGTTTCGCTTGATGTGCAATGAAGAATGCTCACCCAATGCCTGCCTAACACAAAGCAGTTTTAAAATATTTAATTCCCGGCCCAATTAAATAATTTAAATCATTCAAATAATGTAAATCCGGAGGAGGGGGGTCCCAGAGGGGCCCGGGCCCGCGGAATTGAATACTTTAAATCCGGAGCCTCCCTCCCACCGGACCCCCCCCACCTCAGGATTTAAATTATTTAATTCCGGGCCCCGACCCTCCCCGGTAACCCAAACCGGGTGTATTTGGAAGCTGCCTCTTGTGTATGTAAAAGGGATTTAGAGTAGGTTTTCCATACTAATACACAAAGGCCAGCTGCCAAATAAACCCGGTTTAAGCCGCACTCGGGGGGTGGGGGGGGGGGGAGCTGATGACGTCCATGCGAATGCGCATTCTGTGTTGTGTTTCTCTCGTTATTTTGTGTTTTGTGCATCGGTGCGCAAGGAGGGGATGGGGGCATTTCGCATCGGATTTTGCGGTGTTTTCCTAAAAGTTGCGGACAGCACTGTACCGACCCTCGATTTTTCGCACATGCCAGCTTGGACTTCCATGTGTAGGGGGATGGGGGGATGTTGATGATGTTGATGTTGTTTTGCATGATGTTGATTGCTTATGCGGAACATACGATACCTACGGTGATTACAATGACAATGACCTTGTTGCTCCCGATTGTCCAATACAAAGACACTCGTGTTTTCTAGGCTGTCTAGACAAAGCCGTAGCAACTGACTCCCCAAAAATCAACAAAAAAACATAAAAAAGAAACGACACGGTATTTGCGACACGTTCGCAAAAACTTCACCAAAACACTAGGAACCAAAAAAGCTCCGAAACAACGTCTTGTTCACGAAAACCACGCACAACTCGAGGTTTTCAGGCTTTTGACCAAGAAACCTCCAAAACATAAACGACATACCCCGCGCGGCGGCAGACGCACGAGCTACCTTGTTGTTGTTGCTGCTGTAGTTGTAGTAGTCGAGATTGTCGTCGTAGTCGTAGTCGCAGTCGTAGTCGTTGTGGTTGTTGTTGGTAGGTAGTGCGTCTGCCGCCACGCGGGGTGGTGCGATTCCTTTGCTGGCATGTGCTGAAACTCGAGTTTTGGCACTTTGTTCGCCCGACATTGAACTTTGCTTTTCCTTTCGCATCGGTTTTTGCGGTGTTTTCTAGCAAAAAAAGTCCCAGCCGGCGGGCTGCACTGTGCAAAAACATGTTCAGCTCTGCATTTCTCATCGTTTTTTTTCTGTGTTTTCCTGCGTGTGTCCCATTTCGCATCGATTTTTGCAGTGTTTTTGCCGACTCTCCATTTTTTGCACATGCCAGCTCTTTCTTGTGTTCACCTTCTTCTGCTCTGTTCCGGTTCGGTACGTTGGTGGGGAGGGGGGGGGGGCGGGGGGGGCGGGGGGGGGGGGGGGGTGATGACGTCCATGCGACTGTGACTTGTTTTCTCTTTCTTTTGTTCACCTTCTTCTGCTCTGTTCCGGTTCGGTACATTGGTGGGGAGGGGGGGGGCGGGTGATGACATCCAAGCGACTGTGATTTTTGCTTTCTCTTTCTTTAGTTCACCTTCTTCTGCTCTGTTCCGGTTCGGTACATTGGTGGGGAGGGCGGGGGCGGGGGAAAGGGTGATGACGTCCATGCGACTGCGACTATTGTTTTGTCTTTCTTTTGTTCACCTGCTTCTCGCTATCGTTTTGTTGACTAGATGACGATAGTTCTTGCCGCACATGACCATGAACATGACAGTGCTGCTCCCTGCTGGCCTTCTTGCAGAGTTACTTTTGAAACGCTAGCAGTTGCTCTGTCAACCCGTGCTTGCCGTTTCTTGTTGCTTCACTTTGGAAACGTCCAACATGCAATAACATCGAGTTTTTTTGGCAGCTTTCCAGACAAAAACTTCCCAGAATTGTGGAATGTGCTGGTTTTCCCCGGGGTTTGGTAGTGTTGACTGTAATGTTGACTGAGTGTTGACTGTCATCTTGCATGTTTGCTCGTTTTGGAGGGAAATACAGGCTTTTCAAGCTTCTGAGTGTCCCGAGCACGAAACGTCTGGATTTTCCAGCATTTGGTGGACATGTTTTGTTGGGGCCGCTATGTGGATTTGTGCTCCCACCGACTGTGGCCTTCAAGGTGTAAGCCCACCCAGCTCGCCCGGGTTGGGGTTGGTACCGGAACAAGTTCGCAAGGGACCAGCGCTGGTCAGTTAATGGTCCGCTGAAATCGTATAGTGGAATCGCTGTTTAGTGCGTCCTCTGTCCAAGCATCCTAGAAAGCGGTGGGTACGCACTGTCAGTTTCCAGTCAAGGGATATGACTTTGGTAGGATTGCAAAAGATACAAAAACACTTCGGCCCGTCGCTGGATGGACAAAATCTTGCACCACCTGCACATGCATACTTCAAACGAGGAAGGCATCAAGCCCCGCACCCCTACTTAACATTGGCAGCTGGGACTACTTGAGCGGTGCAAGATTTCGGCCATTGGAACAAATCTGGTCTCTAGCCTTTCAGAGCCAATGCTGAAAAGGAGGGCGGTGAATCATGAAATTGCTGAAAAGTGATGCAAGATTCTGTCCATCCACAGTAGCAGCCATGACAGACACAATCGCTCTGACAGTTTGTTCGCAAAAGACAAGCATTCGTGGGATGCTTCTTTTGGAAAGGCCCTCTTTGAGAAAGAACCCTCTGCCCATTTCTCCGTCGCCTAAAGAAAGACATGCAGAAATGCCCTTTGCCGCTGCGCTCGGCCTGGACAGGCGCCCGGCGAGTGGCTTAGCGCGGCTTCTCTGCCTGGGTCTGGGAGCTACTGATGGCAATCGAGGCTTCGTTGGGGATCTTAGGACCCCCTTCCTGTGCTGGGCGTATACTGCATCATTCTAGCCACCCGTGACGTCTTAGATGCTCCCCCTCCATGGATTGAAAGCTAAAGCCCGACAAATCTTCAACCAGAGTCCCCCAGCCCTCAACTGGATTTGCCAAAGCCTTCATCCCCGAAGCATGCACCCAAACTCTAAACCCTAAATTGAGTTGAGTGCCTGCCTGCTTTGCGTGGAGGGGATGGGACAGCTACAGCAAGTTTGTTGCAAATGCCGCAGCAATCTAGATCTCACAGGAGCTTCACAAGAGCAGTCGTCGTCTGAGGTCACGTTTCACTTGGGATTGGGGATTTGGCTTTCTGTAGCACATTTTGAGTGGACCGGCTTGCCGTTGTCCAAGTCCCGTACCCGGGTCTGCGAATTCCATGGCACAGTGAAGCTGAGTTCCGGCCACGCCTTCGTGGTTCACAGGTTCGTGGAGGCTCGTCAAGCCATTGTATTGAAAAGCTCCAAAGCCATTTGCCATTGCCTCCCCCGATCACAAGCGTTCATGGTGGCATTATAGCTGCTGACATTTGGGGCAATGCTAACTAGGGGCATGGCATGAAAGAGGTGTAATGCCAGTTGCCACTCTCCACCCATCTCGCAGGCGGTGATGGTGGCATTGTAGCTGATCGCATCAGGTGTCAGCCGGGCTTTCGGCATGGAGCCGAAGAGCTGCAGGGCGATCTGCCATTCCATGCCTTTCTCACAGGAGCTCACCGCAGCATTGTAGCTGATGACATTCGGAGACAGCTTAGCTTTGGGTAGACTGCGGAAGAGCGTTAAGGCCAGCTGGCATTGTACCCCTTTCTCACATGCGCTGATGGCCGCGTTGTAGTTGATAAGATCTGGTTGAAGCTTGGCCTCGGGCATGGCGTGGAAGACGTGCATAGCCAGCTCCCACTTCCCGGCTTTCTCACAGGAGCTGATGACCGCACTGTAGCTGATCACGTTTGGTGTCACTTGAACTCTGGGCATCGAGTCGAAGAGAACCAAAGCCTGCTGCCACTCCCCACCCTTCTCGCAAGAGCTGAGCGCAGAGCTGTAGCTAATGACGTTTGGAGCCACCTTGGCTTCCGGCATCGAAGTGAAAAGCTGCAGCGCCAACTGCCAGTGTCCGCCTTTCTCTGAGGCGCTGATGGCTGCGCTGTAGCTGATGACATCAGGAATGATTTGGGCTTCGAGCATCGATTTGAATGTCCGCAGGGCCAGCTGCCACTGCCGGCCCTTCGCGAAGGCACCGGCGGCAGCGCTGTAGCTGACGACATCGGGCGATAGCCGAGCTGTCGGCATCAAGCCGAACAGCTGCAGCGCCAGCTGCCACCGCTGACCCTTGTGACAGGAGCTGATGATGGCATTGTGGCTGATGACGTTGGGCGCAAGTCGCAGCTCGGGCATCGAGCTAAACAGATGCAGTGCAATCTTCCACTGCCCACCCTTCTGGCAAGAGCTGATGGCAGCGTTGCCTTCGCTGGCTTTTAGCAGAACTCTTTTGGGCTCCTAAAGTGCGTTGTGAAAATGGGAAATCGTTTAGCATATCTGTGGCTTGCAAGGCGGGGTAGGTTGGTTTGGAGGTGTGTCTCGAAGGGCGGTCTGGTTCCATGGACGAAAATTGCTCGTGAACCTAAACCAAGCTGCAGCAGACGACGCTGGGACTCAGCTTCTCTTCCGACAGTGACCCGAAGAGATGCAAGGCCAGCTGCCACTCCTTGGCCCGAGCAGCCATGCCGATACCCATGGCGAAGCCTTCAAGACCAAGGTTTGAATCTGCGGAGAGGGTCTTTGCCAGTTGACAGCCCAAGTCGTCTCTTCTCATCTTCTTCAACTCCCGGAGGATGTCGAGAGCAACCTGGGGAGATGAGTGTCGCTCGGGCTGTGCCAAAAGCTGTTGTAAGGCGCCGCAATTTGAATGACCTGGACCCAGGTGCCGCAATCTTTCCAACAGCTGTGGCGAGGCACTTGGCGCACCCGGCGGCATCCAAGGGGAGGCGTGAAACGCCCGGATTCGCATGGCTGTGACACATGCACAGAATTCTCCTGCAGTCTCACATGCTGCAGCAACCAAGTGTCGTGGACATCGTAGCAGTCGTAGCATGTAGCTCCGAACCAGATCCGAAAAGCACCAAGAACACCCTTGGGGCACCCGGCAAGAGCTCCTCCAGGGACAAAGTCCCGGGCTTCCGGGCCGGTGCCTTCGTGCGGCTGCGACTGCTACAGTTCTTAGTGCAAATACTACCACCGTTATCCACCGTTCTGATCATGGTGTTTGTTAGGTTTAGTGAGCGCCTCTTGTGTTTGTTGTTGCTAATACTGGCTGCTTTTGGTGTTTTCGTTTTCTGCACCTTGCTCTCTGACCAAGATGCCTGCCTTCAGTTTTTTGATTTGGGTGTACGATAAGGCTCCATGCGGTGAGATCACGCCCCTAAGCAGCCGCAAGCGGCAGCGCGTCTTTCGGTGCAGCGCGAGTGTGTGTAATGCTGCAGGGGCGCAACGAAGAACTGGTTCGACCAAGGTTCCGGTGCCTCCTAAGATTTTGCGGACGCGTCTAGTGGCTTCGCAGGGCGCTTGGAAGATTGTTGCTCCGGGGTTCATGTCGTGAAAGCTTTGTGCGTCGTGTCGTGACCTCGCAGCTTCTCAAAGCTTCGCAGACTTTTTTCTGGCATGCCTGACCTACGTAGAATTGGAAGTATCATTTTCAAGTGCGGACTAGTTCGGGTACGCGAAGCCCTCCTAGGGATCTCCCGAACTTGGTTCGTGTTTGTGGATCTTCAGGGTTCAAGGTTTAGGGCTTTGAGGGTTTCGGGATCACTGACCACAAAACCGCAAGCCTGGACTTCTGCCGGACCCTACAACCCAAAGACCCCAGAACCCAACCCATACCCAAAACTCAAACCCCAGAAACGTTCCAACCCTGAAGCCCCAAAACTCCCCCAACCTAATATAGGGGCCTTAACAATTAGAATAGGGTTTTGGGGAATGTTATACCATAGTTATACTAAGGAACCACCAAAATAGTGCTGGTAATTACTCAAGCCCATTTTTTTACGACGGCTCAGCGCCGTGTTTCGCCTCGTCCTGGTTCGGCGCAGGCTCGCGGGCCTCTCAAGGGGCAGATTTGGGGTTTCGGGGTTTCTTTGCAGCCTGTGACTCTCTGATCCTGGAACTCCCCCCGCTACGAACCCAGAAGCCTTAAAAGCCAGTGTTGATGCCAGGGATGAAGTTCTGGGATGCTTCGCAGAGCGTGAGGGCTAGGGCCTGCTAACTTGCAGTTCTTTGGATCCTGCTACGTAGGGTAGGTATGGGTGCCTTTGTTACTTGGAACATTGTGGAATCAAGGCCAAGTGCGGCATGAGACGCCATTCTGCAGGTAGATGTCTGGAAACCACAGATGTACAAAAAGCCGCTGTATTTCTAGTCACGGCCAAACGGGACGAAGGATGCTGGACAGACTGACTGCAAGCACTATGCTGAGAAAAAAACGCATCCGGCCTCTGGATTCTTCGCTGGGCGCTCCTGAACAACTGGGGGCTTCTGTCAATTCGGCTTCCTTCATAGGGTCTTAATAAAGTACGATACTTGGTACCTGAAGCCAACTTGAACTCAAGCTGAGTATGAGGTTCGGGACACACCTCGTTGTCCGACCCAGTGGTAACTGGGCTCCACGTCTTGAAAACTGCTGGCAGAACTCAAACAGAAGAGCTGCAAACAAGAAGTCAGATGCTAAGCCAGTCACGCGAGCCAGAACCGCACCAAAGGCCTTATGAATCCAGAGAATACCCTTGAAATCCCTTGAAAAGTCGCAGTCTCCGCGTTTTCCCTCTCTCTCTCTCTCTCTCTCTCTCTCTCGCTGTCGCTCTCTGTATATGAACAGTGAATAGTGTTTCCAGTCTGTCTCCCTCCCTCTAAATCAACATGCTTGCGTACCTGCAGATACATGTACATTCACCTATATATAGAAACACCCTTCACCGTCCACGCAAACGAACAAACATGCAGACGTGCGTACATACATCCAAAATTACATACATACATACATACATACCTACGTACACTGTACATACATGCATGCCTACACGCAGACATCAACCATTACAGCGCCAAGGTATGTGCGTCGGGTGACATTGCTGCAGCTCTCGCTGTCTCGTGCCAAGTGTACTGAACTTCTAGCGGAGCCTACAAGTGGGGTGTCCTCATAGGCGCCTGCGCACAAACTAGGCACTTACAAGATTTTAATTCAGCGAGACCAGCATGGGTGGCAGAAACATGACCAGGACCCAATACTGCGAATCACAAACTTTAGTAGAAGAGCGGGATCAGCGCAACGGTAGCATTTAACATCCGACGCACCCACCCCGGCAACGCCGGTCGACATGCCTGCAGGGGCCCGGGAGCCTGCACAAGCATGGGTCCGGGTTTGCTGCGATCTCTCCTCCATGTTCCTCAACGCTACCCACTACTGACTACTCACTGCTGGTGAGGACTTAGAAAGAAACTTTCAGAGCTTTTCTTCTTTTACTCTGTGCGGTCGAGTGACTCTGTTTAATTGCAACTTGTTCACAATATGCTGAGTATCCGCAAAAATTAGTAGCTGCCACTGTGCAAGACTGTCTTCGGGTCCATAATCCGTGTGGAGGTTCAGACTCGTCACAGCTGCAACTATGCCCCAAGCTTCGGAAGAACTGCCTCGGGTTTGTTTGGGGCAGAAGTAAGTTGGGCAGAAATCTGCTACACACACACACACACACACACACTAGCCACTCTTAAACGCCCACACTTATTTACCTGAATCCCAAAGCAAACAGCGATTACTTACGAAAGGCCGCTCAAAGTGTAAACTCCGATATAGTCTGTCCGCAAAAGCCCTTCCAAAGCTCGAACGACCTGCAATCCTACTTTTGAGATTACAGTACTGCTTCATGTCAATTGTCGCTGTGAGTTTCCCTGCCGCAAATGGCATCGCCCTTGGAATCATCACCGACAGTGTTAGCAGGATCTTAAACAACGAGGATGCTGGATATGGTTCTCGTAATTTCCTGGAGATGCTATTCGTCGCGACATGCCCTGCCGAGAACCTCAGCCATTAAGGCTTTGTCTGCTTGAACAGCGTGATAGTCCCGCCTCCTCGCCCAAAGACCTGCAGTGTGTCTGGGGAGCTTCTCCCTCGTATTCTTTAATTATGCGGCATGACCGAAACATGGGGGACCTATACACTGCAGATCAATGAAGGCATTTGTCGGGCAGTGGCAATTGGATCATCCCTGAATCAGTGTTTATCTCAAAAGCCTTACCAAATGCCGTGATACGTGGCAAAAAAAGTGCTGCTACATACAGAGAGACATCAAGTCGCGCTGAAAGCTACGACGGAACTTTGGACTCAGAAGGATCGAGGAACACATACCTTGATATTGAGGTCCGGCACGGGTGCTCGGGCGTGCGATTCAAAACGCCATGCAGCTGCTGAATGTAATAGACGTTCACTCATCCACAAACTTTTCACCCTGAAGCCCTATATTGCGCTCTGCAGGCGAGGTTGTTCACATGGATTTTTTTTGTCGGGTTCCGAGCTGCGCAGGACAGTATTTAGGTTTAGGCTTCGGGGTTGAAGACCTAGAGTCTTCGGGCAAGAGCGACAGAAGGACTTTTGGCTTTTCTATGTGTATAGTGCTTGGTTGGGTTGCATCCAGGAAGGGCAAGGTTCAATGGGTCTCTGCCGTGCGGAAAACCTTGCTCGGAAGAGAATGCTCTAGTCATGCAATCGAGCATGCGCTGTCACATCCTGTCGCTGAACCCTGCACTCAAACTTTGCCTCTGAACACCAAAGGTCTGGTCACACCTGTAAACTGACATGGTGCGTGGCCAAGGGGCGGGGTTCGCGTGATGCTGAGTGGCAAGGCCTGCAGAGCGAGGAGCGGTGCAGACGCCCCTCCATGCTGGTGTTGGCTTGTTTTCTTGGAAGTCCTCGTTGGGTTCGCCTACTTTCCAATATCAAACCAACTCATCAAGGAATCCATGTATGAGTCGAGCAGGATCCTCGTGCCAAGTCAGCCGTCTAGTAATTCTGTCACGACGACCGCACGGGAGCGTTTTGGGAGTTCAGGGTTCAGAGTCTTGCTCCGAAATCGGCACGCCGGTTGCGCTGACGTCACCCCTCCTGCCACCCGGCCTTTTTGGTACGCCGGATGAACAGCCCACAAGCCTTGCAAGCCCCAATGCACTACTGGTTTGCCTCTCATTTACTTCCGTCAATTGATGCCTCTGCATAAAGCAGACGGTGTGCCAGCAGCTCGGACAAAGACGGCCGGCGCCTGAAGCAAGGCAGTGCCACCGAAAGTGCTTGGGCCGATCTTTATCGTGGGGGGGTCGCGGATGTTGAGTGAAGTAACAGAAGGAGTCATCCTTTCCAAAATCAGTCTGGCGATGCTTCCCTCCTAGGCATGTTAGAAGTGGTTGATGTTTGTCCAGCCAAGCACACCCTCGACCTGGCCCGACCAGAGACTACAAATAGTACCCGGGTCTCACGAGCCACAGCAACTTCTGGAAGCTGAGTCTCGACGATCATTGGCCAACTTTGAGCCCCTGCTGCAGTCGAGAGACAAAGATATGGATCTGGCGACAGGATCTGACACTCATCTGGATAGGCTTACACCTCTGAACATGAGGAACATTGAAAGGCCCTTTGCTGCCGTCCACACAGTATCGGTCCTTGCTCTACTCGATCAAGCCCGGCCGCCGTTGAAAGTCCAAAGACTCCAAAGGAACCAAGTCCTGAACCCACAACCCCGAAGAAGTTCGCCCGAAGTGAAAACTACAAAAATGCCACGCCCTAAGCGCTTTAAATCCTCTTGCCCCGGAACCCTGCGCTTTCCGCGCCTAGGGTCTCGCTGCAGGCAGCCGCCGAGAACCTCGAGCAAAGCCTCCAGAGTCTGAGGCTGAGGCGCGACTATTCAAACAAGGCTGCAGGCCCTTGTTGAACACGTTTTGCTGTGTGTTAAGGGTTCGGGTGTTCACAGGGTTTCGGACGGCTTTATGGGTGAGGGATACGCACAGGTTCTGGGCTTTGGCTTCTAGAGGTCCTCAGCACGCGTTCATATCGTCATGTCAGGTTGCAGAGGATTCATGCGTGGACAGTACATATTGAACCGCCGTGGACGCAAGAGAAACCTACAGCCTGAAGTGTTGGAGATCGGCTTGAACTTCACGTCTTACAATGCAGATCTCTATTATAATGGTTGGTGAATATATTGTGTATAATAGCGTCAGCTCATCCTTTCTTTTGATGTCTGGTCCTCCCGAAACTCGGAGGAACAGCCCAAGGCCCCAAAGCCGCGAAAGCCTTGCAAGGTTCCCAGAGCTCGGGGCTTCCCTGCCTTGCTGGCGGCGGGCTGTCCTTCCAGGAGATGGCCCGGAGGAAACCTGGGGGATTGCTTTTGGGGTTCTCAGCGCTCCAATGCTTCTGCTTTTATTTGGGGGAGGGCTGTGGGGTTTGAGAGTCTTGGGAGTCTTGGGGCTCAGGGCTTCAGGGCTCCGGCCCCGTGTGATGCCCGTCAACAGCCCCGAGGCTCCGATCTCAGGGTTCCTAAACTGAGCGGCACCGGAACTTTCAGGAGCCTCGGCACGCAGAGTACGTCTTCGGCTTGTTGCATATTGCCATTGCACAGGGAGTACGAAGGCATAGCACGACCCATCATGGATGTACATGTATCTAAATATCAATGCGTACGTACATATCTGTAGATATACCGACAGATAATCCTCTTCATGTTCTTACATACATACTTCTGTGTCTCTCGCTTTCTCCCTCTCTCTCTCTCTCTCTCTCCGCACCCTCTCTGTCTTCCGTTTTGCAGAGACTCTTCTCTGGAACTGGAAGCTCTTGTGCTAAGTATCTCCGGAAACCCAAAAGTCTTATATCTCGATGTCCTGTTACACTTACTTACGCCCCCATTCCCAAACTTGAATCGACGAAAGATCACTCCTCATCCCCTATACGCCTCTCCCAGCAAACCCGCCGGACTTTTCGCCGTGTGAGAGCTCCAAGTTTCGCTCCTCTGCTCCCCTCCGCCGCGTTCGGACGGGACGGCGTTGGAGTTCGTTTTGGGACTTTGGGAGAGGTCTGGTCCTTGGAGCAGACCCGTATCCGGGTGGGAGTGCCGCCTTTCAAACCCTGACCCCTAAACTTCTAAAGAATTCCACCTTAAGCCCTGAACCTGCAACTGTAGCTCTTAATGTTGTTTCTTCGCCCACGGCATGTATAATCCGTCTTAAGAAGCAGTGGGAGACTTGCCCAGCTGAAAGCCTCTGGACCCTCAACCGATCCCCAAGATCTCACACCGAAGATCTGCATCGTAAAGTCCTTGCGGATGAAGGGAAGAACACCTTCGATCATCTATACCTCTCTTGTCCAGGTATGACATGAACGCCTGAATCACGAACAGCTAAAGGGTTTCTGTGCATGGAGAGTACGGCTTTCCGTCCTTTGCGGCACAGGCGAGGAAGACTTTTCAAGCAGCAGTCAGGGAGACCGGCAAGGTCTTTCAGACCCATCACAGCCCTCCGGGCCCAGCGGTGAACAAGGTGGTACAAGATTCGGGGTTGTGTCATAGGGCTCTTAGCAGGTATTGCCTCGAGCTGGTCGTGGAGCCACCAGATCCGAATGCCTTAGACCCTAGCTGCCCCAAGCCCTGAACTTGGGCCTGCATCCACAACACCCAGGCCCTAAACCCTTGTCCCTACGCCCTGCATTGCTAAGCAAGCTGAGGCCTTCGAGCTCGAAGTCTCCATGCTAGCTTTTGAAAACCTGCGTCTTCCTGAGTACGCAGCTTTGGCAGTCGCGTGCGACCCGCGTAAACAGAGGAATGCCCGAGGTTCAAGGCTGTATAGCGCTTGCCAAGGATGTTCAGGCAAAATGTTTCTGAGGGCCTTAGCAGGGTTTCTGTGCTATGGCGGCAGGGTGCAGAAAATGCAATAGGTCCTTGACTCACACTCGAACCCTCGTATTGTGTAAGTCATGCGAGCAATCCTCGGCCACATACAAACAACGAAGCGTACTGAGGTCAGGACAGGTTACATAGCATTTCATACTTTCCAGGTAATCTACGACTGCCTGCTCTGATTTCTGGCTGTTTATGCCATCTCTAGTGCACTCCTCCACCGAGACTCGATTCTCTTTGCGGTACGCGTGCATCGCTCCGGAAGGAGACAAACCAACCGCGGATCCGAGAGCTATGCTCTCACGGCATTCGGAATAAAGCCCTGAGCCATGCAGCCCATATGCGATCACGATGATGATGACGATGGTGGTGCGTATTAATGCTGAAAGGTACACATGGGAAAATACTGTAAACATGCGGGCCTCAGGGCGGGCCACCCTCTAATAATGATGGTGACGATGATGGCAAGTTGAGATGCGCTCCTGATCCATATATATATATATATGTGAAACCAGAAGCAAGCTCCGAATCTTGACAGACATCCCCAGACAAGAATGTCTCAAGTCGGCATCTGCTCTGTGACAGTAAGCTTGGGGACATGCTTTGGAAGTTTTGTCTGAGCCTACGTGCGGAAGCCACCCAGGGCTTTTTGAACAGCACAGCTCTTCCTCTGAGGAACCCTCTGACTGGGGAGATGTCTGCACAAGGCTTAGGGGCCCAAATCTTGAGACAAAGGCCTTCAACAGGTTAGGTCTCATCCGGACGAAAGGACTGGACATCTGCCAGTGGAAATGGAGAATACCTACCTGGAGATTAACTAGGATCTCCAGGTAAGGGCGGCTGTCAATCACCACGGATCCAGCCTTACTCTTGCTATCACAATGCAAGTGCCGCTAGACTTCTTACAACAGTATGACTACCATCATCACCACCTTATACGGTCCTGGAGCAGGAGACCAATCATCCAAACAGGGCCTCCAGTTACGAGAAGCACCGGCACAAAGCGGTAGAGGGCTAGGGCCGCTCGGGTCGAGGCTTTGGGCATTTCGAGCCTTGCAGGGCTTAGGAGTCTTTAGGCCCTGTAGGCCTTAAGAACTCAAATCCCAACAACCGCTTATCTCATCCTACTAAACCGAAAGCCCCTAAGATGCCAAATCTGTCAAGCCCCGTACCAAAATCATCGGTCAGCCTTTCTTCTTCAAAGCTTCTAACTCTAAGTCTCTCCATCCCTAAATACGTAGGACCGGATCCTGCAGTCAGCCACCCGCTACGTGGGGAGACGGGGTGAAACCAACCTGACGGCTCCACTTTCAGCTCCGATCGAGGGCTTGCTTCGGTGCTCATGGGGTTGCTTCGAGATTAAAGGCGTAGGCCTTTTCGAGATTTGAGTGGTAAGGTTCTGGGTCGACGATGAGGGGGGTTCCAAGCCCGTATCTTGCAGGCCGAGTTCGCCCACCCCTTTGTCTTGGAATCTTGCTCATTCTTGTGATTATCCTTGTTTCTTGAGCATCATTGACATATTGCCGCTAGCACTTCTGCTACCACTGCACGAGCATTTTCACTGATGCTCCTCCTACAGGTCCACTGCTACTGCTGCTGCTGCTACTACAACAACAACAACAACTACTACAACTACAACTACAACTACAACTACAACTACAACTACAACTACTACTACTACTACTACTACTACTACTACTACTACTACTACTACTACTACTGCTTCTACTTCTGCTACGAATATTATTACGAGTGGCTCTACTAGGACGACGAACACTTCTGCCAATACTAACGATAAGACCAATGCCACTATTGTTCAGGATGCTGAGCTTGGGCGGCATCGACATGCTTCGAAGGGCCTTAAGCCCAAAACTACCAGGCAAACACATGTCGGCGCAGGAGTTACGATGCACCTGGGGAGTCCCTGCTAACCAGTCTAGTTTTGCTGCGGCAGAAAAGGCAACGATCTAAGTATCTAACCCTGCTACAAGTAAGCTTTCGAACGCTGGAGTTGGACTCGAGAATCTCGAAAGTCGGAGCCACCCCGATGCTCAGCTAACATGTGCAGAAGGGTTGCAGGTTTCCTGTGTTCACACCGACACTGTGTTGTGAGACTCCCTTCTTCCGGAGTTGTTTGGAGCTACTGGTTCAGGGTTCACGTCAGGGTTGTCAGCTGCCCAATGCAGCTCTACGGATGGACCCCCCAACATACAAGAACAACGGTTGTTGCCGGCTAGTGTGAATCCAACAGGACAGGAACCCAGCTCTAGTGGAGCTGTCGGATTTAGCTGAGTTTAAATCTCGGGCTTTGGAGGTCGGAGCCCTGAGCTACGAAATCCTAGTCTTCATGTGGCGTTCGACCATTGGAGTCGGAGTTCTTCTACCAATTTCGGATGGATTCTGATTCAAATTTCTGCGGAATTTCTGGGGATCTTCATAATTGGCAGAGGGCTGCAACACATCTGGGTTCCCCACAACATACCGCTTTAGCTATTTTTGGTTATGCGTTATGATGTAGTAAGGACCTTCAAACGGACCAGAACTTGGAACAGCTCGCCAGATCTTCTCGCTTCTTGGGCGTCAGGCCTTGTTCTAAGAGCTTCAATTGGGGCATATGTTCGAGAAAAGCAAAGTTGACTACAAGATGACATATCAAAGCAACTCCGTACAATACACACAAAAATCACAAAACGTATGACACAAACTTCGAAAAGTGTTGGCTAGGCAAAGCATGCCTGCGCTCTGTGAACCCTAGCCCAAGGACAGTTCATCCATGCACTGCGCTCACCCCGCAATGTATCTTCTTCTTCATGTGATGCTGCAACCCTTGCACTGCGACTGCTTCGCTTTGAAAGGCTTCCTCGCTCGTGGCTGCGGGCTTTGCACACGAACCTTGAGCGCCTGAGCAAAAACATCTACGTCTTTCGACCAGCAGTTTGCCTGGATGCTTCTGTAAATCATGGTAGGTAGGGGACGTGAAGCTTTTGTCTTCTCAAGCAAGCCCAAAAGTGCAAGAAACACCAAGCTTTATCAGATAACAAGGAGGCAATGACCGTAATGAACCAGCACTGATGCTCATGTTGCTGGCGCACTTACCAGACCTACCACCACCACCACCAGCACCACCAGCACCACCACCACCACCACAGCCACAACCGCCGCCACCGCCGCCGCCACCACCGCTGTTGCTTTCTCTTCTGCTTCTGACCTGCGTCTTCACCTTCCTGTGGTGGTGATGACTGGTAGTATTGTTACATATCGAGGCTTCGGGGACGGTGCATCCGCGTGTCATGCGGGTCGTCTTGCACCCATCGCCGGTGCCCCAGATCCAGGGCTCACCTCAGTGGGGTTTGGGTCGGTTTTGGGGCTTTCAGCTTGTCGGGTTCTTGCTTTTAGGGTTCAGGGGCGCCCCCGTTTTTGTCTTACCATCATCAGATGTATCTATCGCCAATCTGAGTTCGCTCTGCTAGTAGGGTTACCTACATCATAATTGGACTAAGACACACCCAGGTGCCTTAGCTAAGGTGCCGACGAGACCGTTGCAAGCAACGGCCGGAGATTTCTGGTGCTTCGGGTGAATTGAGGTGTTTGCGGCATTCAGGCTTGACGGCTATTCTGAGATCGCGCATTAATACGCTTGCAGTTCGGAGAATCTTATACAGTGGAAAAAATGCTTTGTGGCATGGGCTGTGAGGCCCTCGACTCCTAACCTGAACGCGGAGCCCGAAACCACGGAATGTAAGCCCCAAAAGGCAAAGGCCCAGAATCTACCTTCCCTTGCATCTTCTGCTTGAAATCCATGAGCCTGAACCCATAAAGCGAAAACCAGAAAGCTAGGCTAAACTCTTGCAAACAACGCCGTCATCTACGGGCTTAACTCATGCGAGCAAAATCTGAGGCATATTCCACGATGCTTATCTAGGGAATAGCCTGTATGCGTGTATTCAACGGTCAAGACTCCCGCTGGTTGGTTCTAGAGTCCCAGGCCTGACGTCGGGATTGAGCTCTTCAAAGTCGTCTATGATTCTTCTCCTTGGCAGTCGCGGGTTATGCACGAAACGACGCAAAATCAGCAGAAAGGGTTCGGGAGGACACTCTACTGCAAGCTTTGCAATGTATTCAGTCTTCTTTCTGTGTGCTCCGCTATGCCTAACAGACTTGCCAACTCCTTGCGGTTTGGCAACTTTAACTTTGCCTACTCCCCAGCCGTTGGTTCGGGGTCCGGCCAGAAACAAAGTCACATGCTCTAAAGGCCACAGCTTTTTCAAAATTGAAGTTCTTGCAGCAGAAAGCTCTCCCTGTCCAAAGGCACCAAATTCCAGAGTCAAAGGGGCCGATGCTTGGACCTGACTAGTAACAAGCTGCTGGCCGCTAGCCGTGACCAGAGGTACCCTGATTGGGGTTGCCTGTCTGTCATCCTCGTTTTGTCTTTTATTGCAGAACCCCGTGATGACCCGACATAAGCCGTGCAAACCACAAGCCTATAACATGTTCGCGGCTTGAGCACTATGGGATCCAGAGGGCTTTAGGGTACAGGGGTTCAAGCCCGGAACCCAAAAGACATAAAGGCCTAAAGGCTTGCGTGCACTCCAACCCGAGCCATATACACCAAAGGGAGCTCAACCTTGACGGCTTCAGTGCCCACGGAAAGGCAGCCATACTTCAAACGTCGGAGCTTCGCGGCAATAATAGTCGTCGCAATGCACTTCGGGTTGCCTTGTTCAGAGCCAGTGTCTTTGACTGCTCACGAAAGCCCCAATAAAGAAACACACCGGATATTACACCGACGACCCACTCTCAAGAAGAGGCCGCGCTCCCGTGTCACTAGGCCGAGTGTCATTTCCTCCAATTGCTCATGCACATTCTCCAACTGCGTGTTGCCCTCCTCGGCGACCTGCTACTGCGAATCTTCGGTGCGTCTTTTCATGCGTGGCCAGCAACACTCTCGCGAAAACCTTCCGGACCCACTCTTTGGGTCTTCGGGCTCCCGTAAACCAAGCAAGGCAGAAAAACAGAACACGGAACCACACAAGGTGCCGTCCGTCAAACAGCAGAGAGCCGCAGAAAGCTCTGCAAGACCTTCTTCATTCATGCAACAAACGAAGGATGCTAAATCCTAACCGGCACCTTCCTCGGCGGGACTGCTCCATATCCGTTCTGAGGCATAGATTGGGGTGGCGCCTCAGTCTAGGGCTAGGGTTCGCGGGCTACAGCAATAAAGCAAGCATGGCAACAGGACCTTGGCTTTGCAGAACCAAAGATAGCCGTTCACGTCGCTGCCGCCAACTTTGCCTCAGCGCGGCGTTGGGGCTGGTAGCTTGGAGCACGAATGCATCGATAATCATTTGGGATGTCGGGGCGTGTAAAGAAGCCCGCAGGTAGGACGTCTTCGCATGTCAAACTGGATGCCACAGAAAAACCACGCTCCGAAATCTGCATCAATTCCATTTAGTTCAGAAATATAGCGGTCGTTGCTACTACATGTTGCCAGTGGCAAAGGTGTCTGAACATGAAGCTGCAGCAAATAGAAAAGCGGTGTCTTTCTTGAGTCTGGCCTGATGCCTTCTCTCGAGATCCTAGCAAAACGAGACGGGGAAACTCCAACAGTCTTCAGGCTATGCTAAGCCCGCTTACATGCCAGCAACTCTAGCAAGGCTTGCACAGCAAGGAAACCCAAGCCTTTCGCAAAAGAAGGTTCGGGGACGCAGCAAGAGTTAGTTAGGATAGCTCCGCCGCCATCGTTGCGGTACTCCTCAACCTGTAACCCTGACTAAAGCCCTACTTTCAGAGCCAGCAATGCTGAACTCGAACCTCCGGCTCTGTCCATGTTGCGCTATTGTAGGGAGGACTCTCCGCCGAAACACGACGCCCCTCGAAGCCCGAAGCCTTCAAGACCTAAGTCCAGAAACGCCAGATGCGATCTAAGGCTTACTGCTCAAAGCCGACGGAATCTTCCTACGATCCTGCGCCCCATTTCTCGAAATGGATCCCCTTATAAGTTTGTCAAATAGACCATTGCATCGCCTACAAATAGCTCTACATCTCCGAGTCCCGAACCATGAGAATACCCAAATGCCGACAACCCTGCAATGTGTTGTTTTGGCCACTCGTACTTTTATTGCTAATTCTTACGACGACTTGGATCACACGAAGCAAGCTGCTGTTGACCCAGAGATCCCCCGGCGATTGCATGGAGCAGATCCTCGGCTCTTGTCGAAGCTACTTTCCGCTTTAGGAAGGTTTGGGGGTTGAGCGGGCTCAAGGTTTAGTTTCGAGGGCTTAAAGTGTCGTGGCCAGTGAGGCTTCCCAACCTATCCCTGAAGCCGCACGAGTGGATCGCTCAAGCCTCCTGTGTCTTGAGTCGCAAAGCTCAGCAGGGGGAAACGTGTGCCTGACACCTCTAGGGAGATGCACTCTAAACAGCAACAAAAACACATTAATTTCCAAACGTAAAGTGTGAATGCCTGAGCAGCCCGTTCTTGGCTGCGCATGGCTCCAACCCGCCAACGCTTTGGTCTTTCCATGGGACTGTTCCGCATAGGTGTTGCGACTAAGGCGTTTTAAACTGGGTGCGCGGAATCAGGCATTGCAAGTCAGGGTTCCTGCCTACGAGTTTCTCTTAGTGGTTGAGATTCCTGTCGTGCAAGCCCATATCTAGGAGGCCTTCGGTTTAAGATTCCCTTAAAAATCAAGCGGGGAGTTGCGTCTGAGATAAGTTTCTACGGCCGATGCAGACACTTACAGTCCCAAAAAACGGGTGCGTTCAGCTTGGGACCCTGAAACTTCAACAACTCCCGCTCTGCCAAGCTTTACCACAAGCTGCGCTATGCTGAGCTGACATAGGAAGAAGGGCAGCACGACCTCGGCCCGAGGGCGACTTGCAAGGCAAGGGTCTACCTAGGGTGTCAGGGTCTTCGTGCCTAGGGTTTCACGGTTCGGCTTCGGGATTGTATGGGAGATCGCTTGAGGGCTTTCTTGTGCGCATGTAGGAATGAATGTATGTACTGTATGTATACACACATGTAGATGTAGCACATGAGGTAAACCTGTGAAAGAACTGCAACTTGAACCTGGTGGATACATGCGAAGTACTCCCCGCCACTATGCCTTCACCTACATTGAGACATTTCGAAGTGTGCAGTTCTGCTTGGTCGCCACTTGGAGGCTTAAGACAGCCCATACCGTGTGCTTGACGACCCAGAAGATCCAAGGGACGAGCCCGACCTCTTGGCTGGAGCTAAACCCTCCGACCGGAAACCTCAAATCCTTACCATACCTCTTCCTTTTTGTGCCTTTTCTCTCAGCTGCCGAAAGCCTTTTGACACGTTCTGAGGCATTGGTGCTTTCGGGTTTGACCGGCCGCCAGAATCTGCTGGCTTGGGCTGCGACCCAGGGGTTGAAATCATGATGATCGAAAAAGTAGACCTCGCAATGGCTGGGTCTGTTCAGGATGTAGCATGCAGGGGTTTAGGAGTTTACCTGGGCCCTTCAATCTGTTTGACAACGGATTCGATCGACCAGGAACGTGTGCTGGAGGAAGGCGTATGTCTACTCTGTAAGATTTGCCTTGGCTCCTCACGGGCTTAAGGCTCCATTTACGACAACCCCCAGCAGGGTACTCTAGCTTGCTAAGCCCCCTGACCCGTCAAATTTCTGACTCTATGTTGCAGCTCGATGTAGAGTGCTTCAATCCCATCTCCTTTGGAGCGAGTTGTTTCATGTAATCACCGTTTGTGCCAAGTTGATTCTGCTCTCAAGTGGAGGTTGATTCTGATGCTGGAGGTAGTGACGAGCAAGCTGCATGCTGAAGGTGTCGCCACGGAAGCCGAAGAGAAGTGCAAACTCAATTCTGTGAGAATTTCAGCCCTCCCATGGGCCTGAAAGCTCAGGCCGATGCCTCCTGGTCGCTGGTGGGAACTTCGGGGGTGGTCTCTTATGGCTGTGCTGCAATTTTGGGGATCCAGGGTCTCCGAAGTTTTTGTTTGCTTGTTCTAATCGGGGCCCTAGGACATACTGTCCTTAGCACAGCCAGTCCCGCGTCTGACTACATTGCAATCTTTGTCACCTCTGTGTCTACCCTATCCGCGAAGCAGATAATGACATCCCCGGAGCTTCTGCGGTCTTCGTGAACATGACATTCAGGACACGACAGCCGCCCGGTCCGCAATACAAGAAGGAACGCCAAATCGGGCAGCATGTTGGAGGGAGTCAGGCAGGGGCTTTGGCGGGCCAATGCCTCCTTCACTTTGAACTACGTCGTTTAGGGTTTGGAGTCTACGAGGGAACGAGAAAGAGAGAGCGAGAGAGACACAAAGTACGGTAGTTAGCGGCACTAGTCCCTAACATATCACCAAAGCTACACCAGTCTACAGTTACGGTCGAAGAAGCCTTTAGACAGCACAGCATCGGCTCCGAGGCTGGAGAGGGATACTCAGTTGCAGTTCTGTGGAAAGGTTGAGAATCCATGGGTTTCAGATGTGGGGCCGATGTTGCTTTAGGACGTTGGCCTCAGCAGAAAAATCAGAACGCAGGGACACGAAGGACTTGCCGAATCAAGTAACGGCACCACTAAGACTTAGTCACAAGTACCTGTTAGGGGTCTGCCGCATAATGAGGATTCCAGCAAAAATCTTAGGCCTAAAATGCTTACAGTCTACGAGTCTACAGCTTGGCAGGTCCAAATCCTGCAAACCTTGAGAGACGGCGCGCCTGACAGCATGATGATGAACAGCGCCACGTTTTCCGAGACGAGTCCACCTAAAAGGCTTAGTTTCGGACTTGAGCCTTTCATGTTTCAGTCTTCGTTGAGCTTTCCTCGGCTCTGCAGTTTGGGCTTCTCTGAAGACGAGGACTACAGGGCTGCAAGTTGACAGGAATGGGAATTATGGCAGGGCCATGGGGCGCAGTAGTTGGAGCTCCTACACCCGCAAAAGTTCATAGCTCGCAGAGAGGCGCCCGCCACCATACATTAAGAAAGAGGATGTGCTTTCGCAAGTCCTGTCTGTCAAGAAGTAGTAAAGCAGGCAATGCGGCAGCCTCCGACTGGGCCTTACCTCTCTGAACCCCTGAAGCGCCCCTCCCCCACCCCCAAAGCGCTGACCTCCTCAAGCACGCCTCCGAAGTGCTGTGCAACCTGATTTGTGCATAGAATACCTAGAGACCGATGTAACAACACTTTGGGTTCTCTCAATACTTATATCCAATCCACTACTCGCTCACTCACTCTCCCTCCCTCCTCTCCCTCGCTCTCTCTCTCTCTCTCTCTTTCTCTCTCTCTCTCTCTCTCTCTCTCTCTCTCTCTCTCTCTCTCTCTCTCTCTCTCTCGCTCACTCACACTGACTCACTCACTCTCTATCCCTGTCTCTCTTGTGACCATCACGTGCAGCAGAGTGGCTAGGGATAAGCTGCATCCGTAGCAAGTAGAGCCTCAACACAAAGGGCTGCTTGTATGTTGCAAAAGGCATTAGGATCTGGCATACAGGCCTAAAGCCCTGCAAGCTGTCAAGGATGCTGGAGCATAGTACTGGAAAGAGCCTTGTGGCTTGAATGCAAGGAGAATCGTTTAATTGACGTCATAGGCTTTGAAAGATGCCAGTTGTGCCCAGTGAGTCAGCGAGGACATGACACAGCAACCGTGGCAGGAGACAGACTGGAGGTGAAAGCTCAACTGCAAAGCTTTCTGCAGAGCCCACCGTCAGACACCATCGAATTTCCAGCTCCGGGCCCCGATGGAGAAGACCCAACCCTAAGCTTCAGGACGAAGAGCGTCGAGAGAGAACATAGTCCCGTGCCTGAAACTCTCATAGGACTCTTGCTGAAGCTGGTCAGGACTTAGCACCTCCGAAGGCCCCAATTCTCGCAGTCTATCCCCCGCAACACGTTCCTGGACGGCCAACTCCCGAAGCCGAAATGCAAGACCGTCTTGCGAAAAACTTCCAGCACAAGCATTGAAGCTCCGACTTTCTTCAACTGCAAACTGACATCCGAAAGCAAATTCCCCCCAGCGTCCACGCTCCGTACTGGTGTTCTTGCCGTGGTTGTGCTTTGATGAGTGCGGGTGGTAGCAGTAGCAATAGTAGTGGCAGCAGAAACGGTCATCATCTTTATCACCTTGCCCTTCTTCCTCTAACAAAGGGGGTTCTTCAACCTCCAAACGGACGCCCGACAGCCGCAGACAGGTATCCCTTATATTTCGCTGTTAATCACCCTGTGAGATCACATAGTAATGTAGAGACCTACATGTGGCGCGGATAGCTGTACTCTAGTTTTGTCAAAGTGCCGTAAACAACGCACTGCTTTGCTTTCAGACCCCTTCCGCCCCTTTCCTCATATTCGGCGGGTCGCAGGCAACTCTCTGCTCGCCGCTTTTGGAACTGCAGCTCTGCCTGCGATCCAAGGCTCCGAGGCCAGGCTCAGGTTTCCAAGGGGGGCATATATACATATACTATATATGTGCATATATATATATATATGCCACCGTCGGCGGTCTGGCAGCGGTCGATCATAGGGAGTGGGGGCGATTTGCAAAGTGCCCATCGAAACAAAGCTGAGTAGGGGTTTTACATGTGGGGGAAGGGTTAGTTTTTTAGAACCCTTTTCGTGCGATGTTTCTAAAGCCATTATCTAGACGTCCTGAGCGCAAAAAACTGCCATGAGAGTACTGGAAAAATACAGCTGTAAGGAAAATTTTCAGTAAAACCAATGGTGGCGCCAGAACGCTACTTTAGTATTAATATAATATTATTGTTTGTGATAGTGTCAGTATCAGGATTAGTACAAGTATTGGTAAAAATATTAGCTGCTGTTTAAATAAAACGATTTTAAATAACTGCTATTAAAAGTAATAGGTTTTGAAATAGCTGCCATTAAAATAATATTGGTATTAGTATTAGTATTGGTCGTAGTATTACTATTATTCATATTCATGTTAATATCAGTGATGTTATGAATATTAACGGTAGTATTCATGGTAGTATTAGTATTAATATTAGTATTAGCTGCTATTAAAGTAATAGTGTGTGAAATAGCTATTAGTTTAATTAATATTAGTTTTAATATTAGTATTGGTATTAATATTAGTATTAGCATGAGCTGCTTTTCAAATAAAGGGTTTGTTCTTAAAGAGCTGCCATTAAAAGTAATAGGATTGTAAATAGTTGTTATTCAACAAATATTAATATGAATATTAGTATTACCATTTGCTAGTATTAATATTAATATTTGTATTACCATTAATATTAGTATTAATGTTAGTATTCACAATAGTATTAACATTGATAATAATAATAATAGCATTAGTAGCCGCTATTAAAATAACAATATTTTAAAAAAACCAATTATTATACTTGATACTCGTATTAATATTAGTATTAGTATTCAGTGCTATTGAAATAATAGGATTCTAAATAGCTGCTATTAAAAGTAATAGGTTTTGAACTAACTGCTATGAAACAATATTCATATTAGTATTCGTATTAGTAAAAATCTTAGTACTACTATTATTGTAATTATGAATATGAATATTAATATCAATATTAGATTTCATAGTAGTATAAATATTAATATGAGTAATAGTTCTAGTCTTGGCTGCTATTACAATAACAATATTTGAAATATCTAATATGTTAATTAATATCAATATTAGTATTAGCTGCTATTAAAATAATAGGCTTGTTTTTTAAGAGCTGCCATTAAAAGTGATGGGATTGTAAACAGCTGTTATTTAAAAATACTAGTATGAATATTAGTATCACTATTACTGGTATTAATATTGATATTTGTATTACCGTTAATATTAGTAAGACTGTTAGTATTCATAATAGTATTAATATTAATATTAATATTAATAATAGCATTAGTAGCTGCCATTAAAATAACAATACTTAAAATATTTATTATTATTATTCGTATTCGTATTCGTAAAAGTATTAATATTAATTGCTATTGAAATAGTAGGATTCTAAATAGCTGCTATTACAAGTAATAAGTGTTGAAATAGCTGCTATTGAAAAAAAGTCGTATTAGTATTAGTATTCGTAAAGTCTTCGTAGAACTATTATTTTAATTATTGTTATTAATATTAATATTCATAATAGTATTAATATCAGCATTAGTACTAGTTTTAGTCTTGGCTGCCTTTTCAAGTACTAGGATTGTATATAGCTGCAATTAAACAAATATTATAGTAATAACAGTGCTACTATTAATAGTATTAGTATTAAAATTAGTACTCGTACTAGTATTAATATTAGTATTAGTATTAGTATTAGTATTAGTATTAGTACTAGTATTAGTATTAGAATTAGAGTGTGCGTCGGCGTGAGGGCCCGCTTTTCTCTTGTAAACAAGCGTTTTTATCATGTTTTTATTACATTTTAATTGATTTTCATATGGGTACGAAATACATATGCACACATGCAGCGGCACTGTTATGGACACGGTCACAATATGAAAGTGAATATTCATACCAGTATACTATAATGTAAATTCTATACAAGCTGCGTATTCAGTTCAGGTTTTGGATGTACTTGCGATCATCTTATATTTCGGTGTCCTATCACCTCCTATTGAGGCTTGCGGTTTAGATCTCATTATGCCCACTAGAGTTTGGTAGTTTTGATGCCATAGCACGTCTAAACGTACCCCCATCGTATCCTTTCGGGTTTGGGTCTATACCATATCTCAATCAGAATTGTCAGACTCTGTGGCCGAAGAGTTCTTTTCTTTTAGATTTTGTTATGGTCGGAAAGGGTGGATTGCATATTGAGCGCCTTTAATCCTATATTATGGTTGAGAAAAGGAAGTCTGTAAACTGGTTCATCAAGTTCTGCTTTGAGTTTAAGATAAAATACTTCCAATTGGGTTTTGATTTTTTTTTAACGCTATTTTGTGAAGGGCAAATGAATATCATTGAAGATTTGCCGCCCGTCATCTCCTGGGAGCATTGTGTTCTCAACCATCTTTCTCTGCAGGGATTTGCGGCTTTCCATGACCCAGCAGCAACGTCTATGGATGCAGGTTTATCAACCGTCATATCTCCACTTACAGTTGGCGGATGTATGATGTGATGCCTCTTATCTTTCTTTGGAGGTTTCGGGTTTTACAATCCAACCTATGGAAGAGAGTTTTGGATTATGGAAACCTAATCACCGTCTTGGAGCTTGGCCGCATTCGAGATTTATTGAAGTTTAACGGATGTATTCTTCTTTATTAATCTTTTTTGACTGGAAACCTTAACTGCAGTGTGTATCATATCTCACCAGAATCTATCATAGGCTATCAAATCATCTTGTTGGGAGTTGAGCATCCATCATTTGTCATCATAGTGTCGGGATGATTTGGAACCGGTTGCACCTGTTCGTGATTATGAACTGAAGCCTGTTATGCTCTTTGGGAATTTTGGTTTGCTGCTCAACCTACATAATTTTGAGTCTTTCAGAAGCCAGTCATGGTTTTTTTGCCGGGTTAGTGTTCATCATCTCTTTCACAGGTACTGAGTCCGACATCTGATACAAACTATATGGATTTGGGCTTCTCGCGACATAAATCCCTACTTCCTACTTCTAAGCATACAAAATTTAAATTTTGCATTATTTTCTACATCACTTTCTCAGATAAGGGCTCGGGGTTCTTAGGAACCCGTCTTCCGCATCTCCAGAAACCGAATCATCCACAGCCTCAGGGATGACGGTATTCTTCTTGCCGATGCCTTGTTAGAGCAGGGTTTATGGGTCCCTCGGAGTTTCCCTCAGAGTTTCGGACACCCATCACCCATCATCTTCCTTTCTGAGAAGTGGATTGTATATCTCATGCGAATGGATGGGTCTGTCACCTATCATTCATGTGGTGGTAGGGTATGTGCAGTATTGGAATGCCCGTCATCAGTATTTGGAAATAAACAACCTGATTGCTTCTCCTGAAACCATGATCAATACGCTCTAAATACGAGTGTTTCCATCGAAACACACGACCCGTGCAAGGGGCAAAGGGGGACCCTTTGCAAATATTTCAACCGCATTCCCCACAGGAACCTGTATATTTCTGCACATGTCTATCTGGGCACTTACGTGTCAATATAGTATTGCGTGAATATAATGAAAAAGTAGTCCCATGGTATAGCTATGCTTTCGGGAGTGGCAGAATCATCTTTCAGTCCGGGATGCCCATCATTTCCATTTTGACGGATTGGGTCGTCTTCTCCACGCTATATTTGGTATTAGAAACTGCGCAAGTGCTTGTCATCAGTTCTGAGAATCAATATTCTCTATTCTGAGGATCCCTTCACTAAACACACACAAAGAAACAAATGTTCCGGTTGAACACGCCAACGCTGCAAGACGTGCAAACAGTCCATCCCCAATGTATTTGGTGGTTAGCATGTAAGTATTTCTGCGCGCTGACCTTATCATAGCCTATGCTTTGATTTGTGCATGCACAATATTGTCACGAAGATATACATATACTTTCGAGCCATCATCCGCCAATTTTACATATGTATCAGAATCAATGCCTATGACTGCATCTGAACATACAGGCCTGAAGTTCATCCATCTATGCATACATAAATGTCTGTATATATATATATATATATATATGTGTATATGTATCTATATACATATGTATATATGTATATATGTGTATATATGTATTTATGTATATATGTATATATGTATATATGTATCTATGTATCTATGTATATATGCATATATGTATATATGTATATATGTACATATGTATATATGTACATATGTATATATGTATATATGTATATATGTATATATGTATATATGTATATATGTATATATGTATAAATGTATATAGGTATATATGTATATATGCATATATGTATATATGTATATATGTATATATGTCTTTATGTATATATGTATATATGTCTATATGTATATATGTCTATATGTATATATGTATATATGTCTAGATGTATATATGTATATATGTATATATGTATATATGTATAAAATGTATATATGTATATATGAATATATGTATATATGTATATATGTATATATGTATATATGTATATATGTATATATGTATATCTGTATATATGTATATATGTATATATGTATAAATGTATATAGGTATATATGTATATATGCATATATGTATATATGTCTATATGTATATATGTCTTTATGTATATATGTATATATGTCTATATGTATATATGTCTATATGTATATATGTATATATGTCTAGATGTATATATGTATATATGTATATATGTATATATGTATATATGTATATATGTATATATGAATATATGTATATATGTATATATGTATATATGTATATATGTATATATGTATATATGTATATATGTATATGTGTATATATGTATATGTGTATATGTGTATATATGTAT